TGGGCGACCGAGTGAGACTCCAACTCAAAAAAAAAAAAAACCTGATAACTCCAATTTTGACTTGAGGAAACACTCAGCAATATCTCTCAGTTTTCTGGCTCCTGGAAAGAGATTTGTGGCATTTCAGTCTCACCTAATGTATAAGCACGCGATCTCAACAGTGACCACAGGCATTGCCACCTTCTCAGGGTTCACAGTCTGGGGAAGTATGTGTAGGTGCCTCCACGGCAAACAGGGCCACACGGGTAGAGGAGAGATTAGAGTAACTTCCCAGAAGAGATGAGATAGTGCTGTAAGTGCATGTTGAAGGAAGAGTCCCCAGGCTTGCAGTTGAGATGTGGAAAGGGCATTACAGGAAGAGGCAAGGGAGCATAAAGTCCACAGAGTGTTAAAAGCATAACCAGGAGTTTTGGAAGCAGATGAGAATGGCTGGTACATTTTGAAGATTGGTGGGACTCAGAAATCGGTGGGAGTGAACTCTGTAAACAATGGTGGATTAAAGTTTTAAAGAAAGTGATATAACTAGGTTTACATTCCAATAAAAGCAATAGCATCAGTGTAGAGAATGAACTAGAAAGGGAAAGATTAGAATGGAAACAGCAGTTCAAAGATTGGTCCTAAAACCTAACCTGAGTTGTGCAAGGATGATGAGAGATTGGGGAATTAATGTTCCAAAGTAAAACTCAGCTTGGTGCCAGGATAGGTGAGTAGAAGGGAAGCATCTAGAGCATTTAGGTATCTGTCAGGAGTGGCTATGTGCTACTGGTTAGGCTACAAAACTTCACGCAGCTTCTCAGAGGCATCTCCAAGAGGTGCTCCCAGTAAATGAAGATACGAGTGCTGAGACAGTCCATCCATGTCTAAAATACAGCAAGTCCCCCACATAGGAACTTTTAAGTTGTGAACTGTCAAAGATACAAACTGCATTCACATGTCCAATCACGTTAAGTTCACATTGCCATATGTGTGCATCTTCCACAAGTGGCTGTGCTTTGGTGTACTTTGCAGTACTCTCTAGAGTACAGTATATTTCAAGCCCAGGATGTCTGGAAGCAAACATAACAGCAGCAGTGTAGCTGGTCCTATGTAACCAATTGTGTTAGTTGGGTACCTAGGCTAACGTTGTTGGGCTTATGAATGCGCTTTCTGAAGGGAACTTGTTTGTATGTAGGGAACTTACTGTATTTGAAAGATTTACATAGGCCAGGTACAGTGACTCACGTCTGTAATCCCAACACTTTAGGAGGATTGCTTAAGCCCAAGAGTTTGAGACCAGCCCAGGTAACACAGTGAGAGCACATCTCTACAAAAATAAAAAAAAATTAGCCAGTGAGGTGGCACATGCTAGTAGTCTCAGCTACCAGGAAGGCTGAAGTGGAAGCATCATCTGAGCCCAGGAGGCTGAGGCTGCAGTGAGCCATGATCATGGCATTGCACTCTAGCCTGGACAACAGAGACTAAGGATAGGAAAGTAAAAAAGATTTGCATATACCCTGTAATGGTATTATTTTTATTTAAATATGAATTGTTTTCCTGTAAGACTTGGTATAAAATGATGCTCCAGGACGACTCTCTCGTTGAGGTCAGGAGGTCCCTCACCCACAAAGCCTCTGGCTTCCTATCCTTGTGTCCCTTAGTCTCCCACTGGCCTCCAAGGGACCAAGTGCTTCTTTCTAGGCTGGGGCAAACCTTTGTTGCCTCTCCTCCACCCTCCACAGGACCCATCTCTGTCCTCCATGGTGACTCCCTGCCAGATTCACATGTTCAGATTCTGCCCCAGTCAGAAAAGTCCTGAACCCCTTGAGCCCTGAAGCTCCTTTGACCCCCAAGATTACCAGCTTCAGACAACTCAACCTGCAAACCCCAGTTCTTACCCTACTCCCCTTACGCAGACTTCCAAGCAGCCAGGTGCTCTAGGACAGTCCCACACTTGCGTCCTTGCAATGATCCCCCTGGCAGCTGGAGCCTGTACTCCTCCCTGGCTGGCCCTGTCCTCTCCTTTCGGCCCACTTTGTCTTGGTTACAGATTTCATGACTACATCTGTGGCTCTTTTATCTTCCCGGAGAATACGCGTCTTCCTATACAGTGCCACCTGGGCCCACGCCTTTGCTTTAAATTGTTTCCTCGGCCAGGAGTGTGTGTCCTCCCTCCTTCCCTTGGGACTGAACTGTCCCGCCAGCATCTCGGGGAACTTTTTCCTGGCCCCTCCTCCAACTCGTGGCCACCCCGGTTACCTGCTCTCCTTCTCTGCTGCCTTCGCCTCTTGCGACCCTCTGCATCTCACGCTTGACGTGCCACATCCTGTCCCGGCTAGATGGGGGCGGCTTGCGGGCACGAACGGGGGACTCCCCGTGGCCAGCGCCCACCGGTGCCGAGACGCCCGGGAACGGTGTCGGTCCCAGACCACAAGACAGCGTGGGTGTGCTTCCACTCGTGATGCTTTTATTAGGCCGTGACGTTTCTCGAAGCGGCAACGCCGTCCCGAGGAGCAGAATTCAAATCGTACCCAGGAGGGTCGCCCACCGCCCAGCCCCGAGGCCCTGGATGGCCGGGCCGCAGGGGTCCTCTTCTCTCGCGGCGCCTTCCCCGGACACTCGGCCCCGCCCGAGTCCCTTCTGCGCACCCGTTCCCGCCCGAGTCCCGGCGCGGGAGG